AAAAGATGGGAATGCGTATCAGATCCTTGATGAAAAAACATGTTAAAAGCGATAAGTGTTAAATTTCGAAACACTAGTAAATCTAAATAAAAAACAACCCGCTATACACCGGGCTATTTAAGATTTACTAAAAAAAAGATCTACTAAATGTAAAAAACCGTTGATCCGGGACTCAACAACTCCATTAACGATTAATTTAATTGTTTATGTTTTTTTGCTTCAAAAAGTTAAATACGGTATTTTGGCATATACTTACTATGCTTTTAGACAGAACACATACTTGGAATATATTCAACAAATTAAAAAAAAACTAAACAGACCAAACAAACGACCGTCACATCTCTTGGACTTACAGATCCCCATTCAACTAGCAAAGCAAGCGACTAATCTACACTACACTAAGGCCTATTTGAAGATATGCCGAACATTGGGGTACCACAAAACACATCCATGTAAAAAAAAAAAAATTCGAACAGTACAATCCTTCATAATACTTCGAAAAATTGTAAACGCAACTTGCTTTATTTCAAATCTCACCATACACAATGACCTGACCTGCACCCTCCCGGAGGTAAACAACGTCAATTTTTGTATTTTTCAGGAAGCCAATTTTCCATAACTATGAGCTAGTAAAATCGGTTTTTGTTACTAAATTATTTAATAAAAAACTGGACATGGTGTCCTTTATCTCTGCAGCACAGATATCAACACAAAATTTATAAATACACGACAGATACGCTACATTTCACTTATACAATTAAAGTGTTTTTTTTTATTTTTACTATTTTTTGTTGTCTAATCTCAATGCGTTCCTCACAACTTAGTAGTAAATATCATGTACATTTAACATCTCATCAATAACCAGTTCAAAAAAATGGAGAACCCAAAAAAGTACGGATCAACTAAGAACAGAAACATATATTCTAAGAATAACCTGTTTGGAATCCAATTCCAAGCGAATATTTTCTTTCGCCGTCAAGTCCCAAAATACATCAAAACGGCAAACTCATATAGCTACCGGGAAAAAGTAATATAGGAAGAAATTGGACAATGATTCGAATAAAAAACCGTAAATAAAATACGAAATCGTTTTTGCTACAGTTTTATTGAGCAATCTGAAACATAAAAACACAAGCGAGAGCAATTAAGGTTCCGCTCAATTTTGCCGCCCTATAAAGTGGAGAAGAGATAAACCCATTACATTTTTGCTGACAAATGTGTCAGGAGAAAGTTAGATCCAAACAATCACCGACTTGAAATAGAAAAAAAAAATCATACGCTCGGACAATCGTCATTTTAATTCTATTTGAGCCCCGTTTGGTCAATTCCTTTGTGTGTTTGTCAGATAGAAATTACTCGACAACAAGCTATGTCCAATTATTTCATAATTGAGATTTTAATGGACACGGAAAATTATTGTTTTGTCACCGTTGTTTGCACACAGGTACAAATTCAATTAAGTCTATTCTTGTGACAGTTAACTACAAAAAAAAAAAAAAAAACCTTTATGTACAGCATTGTCATAGAAACTTGTATTACCTATTATTTTATTCTAGCGTAAAGGTAACATAACATAATAATCTGAAACTTATATTTATTTTAAAATATATTACCTTAAATACGAAGTGTTGAATTACATTAGAGGATGGTGTAGGAGAAAGAAGTTAAATATAACTAACAAAAATCCAAGTTTCGGCTCTGTGTTCCAACATACAATATACCAAGAACATGTTTCATAAAAATTCTATTTTATTTTAGTTTTATTGCCATTTCTTATGGCTTGACATTTACCTTCATATATTTTTTTCATTCTTTTGATTATTTTCTAGTACTTATATTTATAATATGGCCAGAGAATATTCACTTGGTTTAACATCATTTTTCAGAGAAAAAACAAACAAAGCCTAAATAAAAAGACTCTTTACAAGCGTTAAACCAAATATTTACAACTGAGAGTAAAAAATACCCAAACAAATTTTCCCACTCACTCTGTTACAAAATCCTTAAAAGATATTTCCCTTTCTCTGTTAATATTTCAGCAGAGGCGCTGATGATTCAAATTATTAACTCAACGCGTGACTAATTATGATTCCCATGTTATCATCAAGTTTACGCTTCGAAATCATGACCCCGAATTCTGAGGCAATACTCTTCTAGCCTAGTATTCGTGGAAGATCAGCAGAGCTCGTCATCGAATAGCCCACGTTCTCTCTTACTTTTTTTCGGCTGGCCTAATCCCCACTAAAGGCTCGATCGACTGGATTTATAGTCACGACTTGCTCACGTACCAGCGATTCCGTACACCGTGCCCCACAGCATCCAGATGGATTTAATGTCTGCATCTTTATACTTCTCTGGAGGTCTCTGTGTACGCAGACAATCGTGTAGCTTTGCCAGCTTACCTAAGGTTTTTTTAAAAATAATTCTAGTACCAAAATAGAAAATTAATCATTTCAGAAAACCTGATAAGTTAAAAACGTACATACTCCGACAAGACATGTGTCCATCAATTCATATAGACAACGAAAAAATTCCTCAGATGGGCAGAGTGCATTAGCTTAGACTAAAAATCAATTGAACCCTACAATTAAAAATCTAAAAGCCCTGACCGAAACGACTGAATTTCCATTTTTTTTCAAATCACCAAAATTGAAAATTAAATATATACACATACCTATATTATTATGCCTTACAGATTAACGGTTCGGCGAAAAATACGCATCTAACAAAAACTACAATCTTTTCAATACAAGGCCCTCTTTTTTACGTTATTAACAAAACTCTACACACAGACTTAAAACCAATAATCGACAAACATAAACGTACTCCTCATTATCGCTTCCATAGTAAATTTCACAGTCATAACAATAAAATGATAAAGGATATGGATGCCTGACAGATGGATGGATGACCAAATGACCATCAGAAATAATTGAAAATGAGCTGGATGAGATATAGTAAATTAAAGATTGAATCAACACTGGGAATAAGACCTGCTGGATTCGATCTATCTCTAGACTTAGAATTTTATATGTACCATTTGCCATTCAGTCATGAAAGTTATGAGGTAAAAGAAAAAAAACAAGATTTTAATTATCTATTTATGCTATTTCTTTGAATTTATAATATTTCAAGCCAACAAATTCCCTTAAATACTTCTTGTACTACATAAATCGAATCTATCCATCCTGACAATTTCAACTCAAAATAAAACAATGAAAGAAATGAACCATATTTCAATTATTTAAAGCATAACTGCATCAGTAAAAGAAAAGTCTAAAGTGAGTAAAAAAATTAAAATTATTTCAGTCGATTAATATTAATTAGTTCATGTATATTTTTACATACTGTTTAGATTGTAAGTAGTACGTGAAACAAACATTATTAACAAAAATATGTAGTTAGTAAAGGCAAAAAACAGCCAGTTAATTTTTTAATAAAGCTTAGGTGGAAAAAAATACATACATATAATAATATATACCTCAATTAGTACAATTAAAAAAAATAAATTAATTACCAAACTTCAAATCATTAACTGTAAAAATATTAAAATACAAGCGAAACGAATACTTTACGCTTTGGAAACCTGATCAGCTAAAAAGAATGACGCAGATGGGTTTTTGGCACAGTCCATTAACGTTCCCTACTACATTATCGAACTATTTTCCGAAATCTTTAAAATATACTCAAGAATGGAGGCGAATAAAGATTGAAATGCCATTTGTTCGATAATAAGCTCTTTCCTTTATCAGAGAATTCAGTTTATGTTGTGTTATACAGCCGGGTCCAAATATTTCAGGGTTCAAGTATTTCTCTTTTTTTTTTTTTATAAAGATTAAAAAAAACATTAAAACCAAATTTAATTATAGTTATTTTATTTATTAAAATAAATTAAGGATTCTCTTAAACGAAAATTCATAGAAACAAATTGTTCGTGATGGAAGTTACTTAATATCAATGAGTTGAAAGTTTTTTTTTAAACTCATATTTTGTGCTATTTTAGTCTTTCTAAATGATGCCTCAAATTAAGTTTGAGAGAAAGAAATACAAATGATGAAACCATGTCAGATGGTGAACATGTGCATCTCCAAGAGTTATGACTATGTTTAGTCTGGAGTGTTTTTCGAGACAAGAATTTATTAGTATCGAAATACTTTGTCAACGGTTAGTTAATTTTGAATGATACATATCCTCAAAAAAAAAAAAAAAATAAATAAAAAGTCGAAATTAGAACCATGAGCTCAGAATATAATTAATGTTCATAAATATAACAAATCATTTTTTTTTAAAGCTGTTAATTAACTTTATAAATTTGAACATGTTTCTGATTGGGATAATAACACAAAGTACTTTAAAATAGTGAAAAAAATATGTTTGTTTCAAGCCAACATTTTGACCCACCCATCTTTGCAGGTCTTCTTCAGGGATGTGTATGCAGCAAGGAGAGCTTCAGTTGACTGTGTCATAAAAAGAATAAAATAGTTGAAAACCTATTTTTATTTCAAGCCTACGTTTCGATTTAACTTTGCAGGTCTTCTTCAGATATGTTTATGTAGCAAGGAGTTTCAGTTGACTACTATTAAATGGCTAGGACGTTGATGCCGAAGAAAAAAAAAGCTCGATTTTCAGTAAAAAATGAAGGCAGTTTTATATAAACTCTAGACTGGAATTTTTCAAGGAATAGAATAGACAACATCCATTTTGGATACTAAAAGGAGAGAAGGGACCCACCCACCTTTGCAGGTCTTCTTCAGGGATGTGTATAGCAAGGAGTTTCAGTTGAGTGAGTCATAAAAATACTGAAGTAGTGAAAAACCTTTTTTTGATTTCAAAACTAAAGTTTCGTCCTAACTTTACAGGTCTTGTTCAGGGATGTGTATGCAGCAAGCAGTTTTAGTTGACTACTTAAAATGGTTGGGACACTGATACCGAAGAAAAAAAAAGCTCGATTTTCAGTAAAAAATGAAGGCACTTTCACATGAACTCTTGACTGGAATTTTTCAAGGAATAGAATAGACAGCATCCATGTTGGATACTAAAAGGAGAGAAGGGACAAGGTTTGCATTTACAGATACGAACAAACAGGTCCAAAGAATTAGGTGAGCGTGCTGAAGAACTATTAGGAGGGATTGAGGCCTAGACTCCGCGATGAATAGGGCAGGAAGGGTTAGAGTGAGGATGCCTCGGCGTGATCTATGACTGACGGACACGCCACCGCGACACCATCGATCCATCCACCGTTGCGAAGAATAGTACTACCACAATAAATGTTTTTTATCCAGAGCCTTTTTAGGAGGTGGACCTCTGAGCCAATATAGAGAGAGACATTTCAAGAGAGGTTTCACGTACCCTTACTTTAAGAATGTAAATATCGATATAAATCGTACCGATAGTTTTCAAAAATATCGAGAAAAAAAATGCCAATGAAATGGTCATTACGCAATTTTCATAAATTTGGCCATTTAACAACTCTTAATTTTATTTTTACTTTTATTGTAATAATAAATGAGGATAATCAAATAATGCTAAATATTAGTTTTATTCTAAATATTATAATAATGTTTAAAAAAATTAAATATTCTATAATAATTTTAATACTAAAAATAATTGTTGATATAATGTTCAATCGTAGATAATGGACCATATTATGACCGAATCGTCGTACATTTAAATAATTATGAAGATATGAGGCCTGGAGATGACCTTTCTTACAGAAATTTCCCAATTCAATATATATTGCCACTCTTCAAAAATATAATACAAACAATATAAACAACTATATTTCGATATATCGACCCTCGATAATTTTATTATAATAACCCTAAAAAGAGTAAGCAAGTAAATATCGTAATATCAATAGAACATATCGATAATTATGACTTGTAATTTTCATTAGAAAATATTGGGATTCAATTTGTTTTTAATTTGGTAGGAGAAAAGAGCAAAAATTAAACTCTTAATAGCGATATAGAGACATTAATATATTGATCATCACCAAAAATAAAATAAATGAAAAAATAGAATAAAAATCGATTTATAAACATTTGCCAAAAAAATCTTAATTCCAGGGACTGATAAAATTAAGTAAATTAAAAATTCGAAAGAATTACTAAAAACATATACATTTATTAAAATCTATTATTAATAATTAAAATATTTATAACTAAAACCTAGAACGAAATAATTTAATTACTCAAAATAAAAACAAATTAATAACATGAAAATTAAATTAATAATGTCCGAACCCTATCAACAGGCTTATTATAAACAAAAAAGAAAAAGAAAATTTATTGCTTATGTAGAAAAATTTAATCAAACTATTTTTCAGATATTGTGTTTAAAAATACCCATTCTCATTTCGATATGTTCACTTGTAAAACTGCCGTACTTGTAGATATTTTATTTATTTCTACTTATCTTTTTCTCACTTGGAAAAATATATGTTGACATAGTCCAATTTTAATATCAATATTTACTATACATATGTCTTTTTCCAATGTGCCTACCTCAATTCTATTTCGTTTAAAAAAAATATATCTTAAAAAAAATTGAAGACTACTGGTATAGACAATGATCAAACGAGAATTACTTAGGCAACCTAGAACCTAATTCAGATTCAACCGCATGGCAATTATGTAACCATATCTTGATTAATTACTCCACACCAGGAAGTGTAACCCCGATTGCTCTGTTATTTCTTACTGCGGTCAGAAAGTTGGTAACATTTCCATGTCCGTAAGAAAGCCAATTCATCAAAGAAATGAGAGCGAAGGAAAAGAAACAAATATTTTGGTAATAAGTAAAGTGGTTCATTATTCATAAAGGAATGTAAAATTATAAAGCACGACCAAGTTAATTATAAAAAAAATTACATTCAAAATAAAAACACTCTTCAAAAGTACAACATTACTTAATGAATTCCAAAGTTTTGGTCCTCGTGGATTGCTCAAAGACTAAAACTAAGAAGACGCAGTAAAAAATAAAATTAAAAAATACATACCTAAGGGATATAATTTAAAAAAAATAAATATTAAGAAAGTCAAAAACTACATTTAACTGGTAAGAACCTAATTTAAAAATAAATTTGAACAGACTAAAAAAAAAGTGGTGATACTAGATAATATGAAAACATAAAAGTAAAGCCAGTATGCAAATATAAGAAATATATAGGTTTAAATGTAATATATTTAAAATCTTTGTATCCCAGGAGAAGTGGACCAAAGTACAATTTAATAGCACAGTTTATATAACATTTATACTATTTTCAGTATAATTCTTAACTAATATCATCACCATCTTCCCTTTGTTTAACTAAAAATGAAACAATTTAAAAAATAATAAAGTTGAGGCTTATCTGTCTTCAATAGCAAATTATATATATCATTTTAAGCCAACTAATTATATATAATTTGAGTTGTGTTATAAATTATTTGAATATTCAAAAAATTATTGAAACGGAGATAACTCACAAATGAACGATTAATTTAATTTTTTTTTTTTACTTATTGTATCCAGAATATTGTTCTCTGAGTTTAAAGGGAAAAAAAAACAAATGTAATTCAGAACTCTCTGAGTATGTAGAATATATTAAAAAATTTAAATAGTATTTTTATACATTTAATATTGTGTTAACATTAGAGGTTAGAGGAAGTTACGAAAGTATCCTTTTAATAAAATACAACTAAGGAGATTATAGCTTCAAGGGTCGATCAATGTGGGAAATGGCTGGAAGAGTTATGAGCGAAAAGCAATCACATCAACTATTTGCAGAACACTCGGGGATATATTAAAATAGACATTTCATAACTGTATGACATGTGCGTTAGCAAATACTGACAGGAAGTCAAACAGTATCATCCTACAAAGGGGAAGATAATGGAAGTCCTATCTGCCTGGGTGCGGCAAGTACGGCCGATAAGATACTGTCTTGTGCTTGCGTTCGCGATTAACAATAATTTCGCACTTATCATCTTAGGATTGCGCTGGGCAATGTATTAATTATCAATTTGCAAGCCACACAAGGTGATACGGGACGCTACATAACTGCCTTACAAAAGGGCCAAGTCTAATGAGTACGGTCTTAGAAGAAAAATAAATGGATTTGTAGACTTATCATTAACTGGCTTAAGTTGTTGTAATTTATAGTTATAAACAGATATATTTTACAAGCAAAAGGGAGGTTACGGAAGTAGAGTTACTTAATTAAATGAAACATTTTTTTCGTGGTACTATGTCGCAAATTATTAGAATCTTGTCCGAGGGGAGCTGAGAAAAAAAATTTAAAACTTTTCTTTTTTTAAAAATAATTTTTAAATAAATTAATAAAATTTAAAAATAAATAACAAAATAATCAATAATACCCTAGGTTTTATGACAAAAAATATTTTTGAACTTAAGCGAATACTTTAATCAATAGTTTTTCACTAAGGCCTTAATCAGAAAATGAATATGTAATGATATAAAACATACGTTAAATACATAATAATACAGCAATAAATAAAAATTATTATTGTTCAAAATGTATTCAGTTCTCGGAATTCTGGGAGTCCATTGTGAGGCTAGAGCCAACGATACGCCCTGTTTACGAATGCAGGGTATTGAGCTGACATCTGCACATCCAGAACATGTTCACTCAAGCAATAAATCATGTTTGGCACATCTGCCGCCTCAAGACTATTTGCTCTCACTCGGGAAATTTGCCACGCCTCGGGGCGCAAATAGCATAATTTTCATAATTGAGTAATTTATTATTAAGGCCATAATACTAAATCAATCGAACATTATTACTTTCATAACATACTTCAAAATAGTCAACAATTAATCTCTAGAATTTCAATATTAATTTCAACAACATAAAATACGACATAGGCGAATCGACGGAGGGGAAGGCTTGCGTGTTGAAGCCCCCTCCTCCCAAAATTGTAAAATATAACCATGTCCGATAAAAAAAAAAAAAATCTCTAAAGGTATTACTGTTAGTGTAACTACATTTAATACAACTTTAAGAATCAACACTTCATACAGATAATTAGGAACTTCCTTATCCTTCCAAAATAATAATTGTTTTATTTATATATAAAGCTTTCGTGCTGAAGCCTTCCCCCCAAAAAAATTAAATCCTGGACCCGCTAGTGAAATACAGTAGTACAGATCCCTTTTGGCTCTCAGAAGCGATGGATTTGTTGAATGAGGTGTCAAACGGAAGGGCATTTCATGGAGAAGTGATGAATCACGAATAAGATCTTAAATCCTAAAGAAAATGTTCCATTTTCGTGATAAATCGTAATTCTTGACAAATGCCTCTTACGAGCTATGCTTGCAATGGAATATAAATCTTATTGAACTAATTAATATTAAAGACGAGTAAGTACTCGACTGATCAATTATAAGGACGAAACAAAATTGTCAGGATTTTCAGTCAAGATTTTTTTTATTGGATCATCCAACTTCAGGGCTACCGTTCGGAAGTCGAGATAAGAATCGCCTTATATAACTCTCTCTCTCTCTCTCTCTCTCTCTCTATATATATATATATATATATATATATATATATATATATATATATATATATATATATATATATGTATAATAACTTACAGTTCTTTTCACGACTTCCAAATGATAGCCCTGATGATGACTAAGTTGCTTGGGCCGAAACGTCGACTAACCCAATAAAAAAATCATTACTGAAATTTTGGACAGCTTTGTTTCATCCTAATCAATATTTAAATATTATTATTTTTGTGTTGTCTTCAACGAACTAAAACTCTATTGAAAAAGTAGATGGAAGAGAACAGCTCTATGAGATCCCTTGGCCACTTAGAATAATATAGTAAGAAACTTGGTATATTTAATAAATAGATATAAATATCCAGGTATGGCTTCTATACTCACAGGAAAGTATAGATTTCTATACTTTTAGTTAGCAGAAGAACTACAAATTACAACTATTCTACACCAAACGAATAGGTCTTGAATGAGTACAATAATGGATCAGTATAGGTTTAGTAATAGCTATGACTTATTGTTTCACTATTAAGCTGGAGTGATATTTCCCAATGGAACAAGCTAAAAACGTATTAAGTAAATTGTTACTTATAATTTTGTGTGTTCGATAGAATATTTTGATAATGTTATATTGTAACATATATAAAAATATGTTTCGCTATTTTCCCCTTATATATACATCGGATTGCATTAGTAAGAAATGACTAACAGCACTTCAGTTAATTAT